TACCTCGCCTACTCCACTAACCAGTCTAGGGAGACACCTACGCCTACTCCCTAACCCGAACCCGAACCCTAACCCTAATCCTAATCCTAACCATATCAAATAGTGACCAGGGTACGTTCCGGTATACCGGACCGTACCCAGGGTACATTCCGGCAGTACCCTGGGGGACATAGACCCTATGAGCATTACTACTAGTTGGGCATTTGTCTGGATCACACCTCTACCACGTTGACTCTTTCGTGGTGGTGGCATAATTAAACTGTGCTGGCTACATTTATGTTTACGTTCTTCACGGCAGATGATTGTTTAAATAATATATATATATTTCTGTTAGTTCATATTCGTCACCACTAGAGGCTGCCCAACTAAAAACCATGCGATGTTGAAAGCTGTAGAGTCATGCTATCCCTTAAATAAAATTGTGTAGTCGATGTCATATTAACAGGAGAGTGTTATAATCTATGTCATAATATCTAGAAATGTCATAATATATAGAGTGTCGTAATCTATATAGATAATCATAGTGTCATCTATATTGTGACATTCCTGATATTAATTGTCACACACCGGAGCAGGCAGTATTCTTCCAACTACTACTTCTGTCGCGATGACGATGAACACGGCTCAGTACGTTGAATTTTGTTGGGCGTCTACCCGACGACATTGTTCTAACGGTCTCTAAATTTACCTTGCAGCACGTTCACCGCACTTTCAACGCCATTTGAATGGAAGCAGTGTTCGTCGATGAGGCACAGATAGCAGATGGAAAACTGCCCCCTGTTCATCACCGTAAAACCACAATATTCTTGTGGTGTGATTCAGATAGGTGTGAGAACGCAGTTGAGACGCGCTCGCACACACTCAGAGACAGACACATCCCATTTACCTGAGGCGAGAAAGAATTCAAAGAGAACCGTCTCGGTCTCGGAAAGCAGTGAGGATCTAGCCCCAGGAACGAGTGCTAGCAATAGCATAGGTGGAGCCGATTTGTTGTCTCGTGGTACCGTCGTGCGGGATACGTAAAGCCGTTTGAACAGTTGAAGGTAATTGCAAACTTATTACCTTATTCCTCCAAAGTTCTAACTCCTATTCCAATTAACTCTTATCCTGGAAAAACAGGTTGTAAATAAAAATGCGCTCGTGACCATGTTAAGGTATGATTGTGATTAAGGTTTCCATAATTGTTGCTATCTGAAAGAACTCTACAAGAAATTAAACGCCTTGGAAATTAAACCGATGCTCCAGATTTTTTATAATTTTATAATCTTTACGGCTGAATGTTTGCAGGTTGACAACGGTAGAGAGCGCGTCAGTATTATTTTCTTGAGATTATCTGGTGATCGCACAATTCGAACATGTCTCCGCCATCGACTGGTCCTCAGCCCCCTGCTGGCGTACGTCTAATTGCTGCAGGCTTGGCCGGCTGTATGGCAGAGCTGTGCACAATGCCTCTGGACACTGCAAAGGTCAGATTGCAGGTAAGTTCGAGATTTACTGATGTTTATTATCGTTGTTATGTATGTATTTATATTGATGTTAATTGAGTGTTAATTTAATTTTGGATTGCTTCTTTAACTGCTTTTGGTTACATATCATCTCGCTCGTTAATATCGCTAAGAGCTGTTGTCGTTGTATCGTGTTGTCGTTGTTGGCACTGTGGATGTCGTGAACTTGTCCTGGAATGCCATGGATGTACCATTCCTGTCCAGGTCTAGTATTCACACAGCGTTTTCTTCCCTGACCTTTCCCACAGATCCAGGGTGAGGGTGGACACGGAGGTCCGAAGCCGATGTATCGTGGCATGTTTGGCACGATATCGACGATCGTGAAGATGGAAGGCCCCAAGGCTCTGTACAACGGCCTAGCCGCCGGACTGCAGAGACAGATGGCGTTTGCGTCTGTGCGCGTCGGCCTTTACGACACGGTCAAGAATTTCTACAACGGAATACTGGGAGGTGAGGAATACTGGGAGGTGAGGAATACTGAGAGGTGAGGAATACTGGGAGGTGAGGAATGCTGGGAGGTGAGGAATACTGGGTGAGGAATACTGGGAGGTGATGAATACTGGGAGGTGAGCGACCGTTTTCTCGTCGAAGCAAAGTCATGTTTTGGTGGAACCATTGCGAGAATGTTCATGTTGATTATTATATTATATAAGAAAAGAGAAAAACACTGACAAATTATATATTAGGCTTTTTTCTATATTAAACAAAGTTAATATTGCACTTACGTAAAAGTTTCAAACTTATTAAGTTAAAAAAAACATACATTGTTAAGTAAAGGGTGAAATTTTACTCGGCACATAGATTTGTTTGTAAAATATAGCCCACACCTAGGTGACAGCGGTATTTTTCTCCTCAACGACGTTATAACGAAACAACGTTCAATGAATTGACATTAATAGGGGTCTTGGTGTATCTCCACACATGAGAGTACGAGAAATCGATCGTATCTTCACTTCTAATAATACGAATCGAATCGAGTGAGTATACATATATTCGAGGATTTACCTCCGAGTAGAGCACTCGATCGTAACGTCTAACGTGTTTTCGACGTTCGTTCCCCGCAGGTCCGAACAAGGACAAGGTGGGAATTCACCTGCGTATTGCAGCCGGCATCACGACCGGTGGCACGGCGGTGCTGTGTGCTCAGCCCACGGATGTAGTCAAGGTGCGCATGCAGGCCCAGGCCCGAGGCGGCTCCGCGAGATACAAGGGTGCCACGCACGCGTACAAGACCATCTTCGCTCACGAGGGAATGAGGGGCCTGTGGAAAGGTAGGCGGACTGCATATATGCATTAGGGGGGACTGTGGAAAGGTAGGCAGGTGGTATTTCCGTCACGGGAAATCATTTCCCGTAATGTTGGCACCTTGATGAGCGTTTGCGTTACAGGGATTTGTTGTAACATCGCTACCTTGATGTTTGTAATTCAGTGATGTTTGTCGAAGGTTGAAAATACAGGTAGGTCCAGTTTTACGACAGGGTTAGGTTCCAGTAAAACAGGGTTGTAAAATGGATAGTCGTAAAACAAGACCAAATCATAATGCAATTAAATGCTATCATTCCACTCGCATTGCTCCACGAAAAACAACAGAAGTGCATATTGCATGTTTGGACTCACAGGCGTTGCTGCGATGTGTTATTGAGTTGCGATTTTTTTTGTTCTTTACAATTTTGTAAGTAATTTTAAAAAGATCGTTAATGTTAAAAGTCATAAAATGGACCATCGTAAAACGGGACCTACCTGTATAGAAGTTTCCGTAAGATTGCGGGTGGGGGGGGAGCGTGGAAAGGAGCTAGATATGTGTAGGGATAAAATCATACCTGTTAGTGCTTACTGCTGCTATACAATGGATATCTGATAATCTGTCGATAAAGAACACAGTGCTACCATAGAGTGGAAGTTATACACTGAAAACACCTGTGTAGAACATGCACCTGTCTATAAACGACACATAAGCTCGGTGTACGCATGGCGATTTTTATCGCTAGTACTGGTGATTTTGTTGCCGGCGACAGAATCTCCGAGAGATCGCCACGAACGTGGCGATTTTTACGCCAGAAACTTGTCGCTGGAATATCAAACATGTTTGATATTTGTTGCCGAGTCGCTGAACAATCGCCACGTGTGCGCTGCACTGGCGACGGATTCAGGCAACAGTTTTTGGATTAACTAATCAAATGCATGATTTGAAGCACGTAATCAAATATATAGCACTTAGCAGTGCCGTTGGTGTGGGACAAAAAGCAAATGTGGCAGGAACACCCATGTCTTTTTGACATTACGAGGCGCACACGTGGCGTTTAGTGCTTTTCTCTCGGATGACCTTGATATACAGGCTTGCCTACAACAAAAAACATTTTTAGAGAGTTTTTTAGAAGATTATTAGAATCGTCTGTTTTGTTTCAGGTCTTCTTCCCAATGTCACTAGAAATGCAACAGTGAATACAACCGAAGTCGTCTGCTATGACATGATCAAAGAATACATCTTGGCCTATAAATTGATGAAAGATGGTAAGTAAGACAAACAAGTAAGGCACCATAAGTAAATGTGAAAACCACGAAAAAAATCTTTGCCATTAAAATGTTGGTATTGGTATTTTATCCCTTGGTATTGGTTACTAGAACGAGTAGTATTTACCAGCAGCTATGTGTGCATGTATTACTGGCCATCGTCCCCATACATTAGACCTCCTTTTGAGTCGTTAATTTCCAGCGACTATGTGTGGGGCAATTCCACAGTGACGGACGTTACATTCAGGGAGGTTTGAGGGCATATCAACTGCCCTGATTGCTAGAGTGGTACTCCCAGGAAATTGTCTCTGTGTGACACTAGCCAAGGTCCAAGTCAATTTGGTGCCACAGGGAAAAGTTCTTTAGGAGGTTCTTCCTAAAAGCCTAGGGGTCTTGTAAATACATTTTGATCCTTTTATATAACTTTTTCCCTCATGTCCCTTGCTTCATGGAATTGCCCTGTGCGTGTATCACCAGACACTGACATGTACATATATATCAGAACCCCCTTTCTGTGAAGTCTCAATTTGGCAAGCTCTTACATCAGGGGTGAATAATGACAAAATTATAAAAAATTAAAAACATTTAAAATTAGAAAAATTACAAAATTATAAAAATTATAAAAATGGGATTTGTTTTCATTATTCACCCCTGCTCACATTAACCCGTTGGTCACGTTACAACATGGCTATTACATCTCCAGGTATCCCGTGTCATTTTGTGTCGGCGTTCTGCGCCGGATTCATCACCACGGTCGTCGTATCTCCTATCGACGTCGTGAAAACCCGCTTCATGAATTCGGCGCCGGGTGTGTACAGGGGTGCGACGCAGTGTGCGATGCAGATGATGAGAGAAGGCGGCCCTCGCGCATTCTACAAGGGGTAGGTATCCGTAGACTTCACCAGGTGTAACCAGATTTATACTCGGATAAAATTTCATGGCTCCCAGAGCTCCTATAATTCCTATATTTCCTATATTTTTATAGGAGTTGCCCATATTTTGGGGAAAATTCCTATAAATCCTATATTTGACTGGTGAGGGTGTTGGTATAGTTTCCTGTTGGTATAGTCTCCACTGATCACCAACTTCATCCACGTCTGTGTCCATGAAAGCAAGACATCTTCCCAAGTGTTTAATTGCTTCCACGGTCCAGTACTGTGGAAGCAATTAAAAAGAGGAAGATTACTTGAGGAAGATGCCTTGCTTTTATGGACATAGACGTGGATGAAGTTGGTGATTAGTGGAGACTATACCAACAGGAGACAGGAATTGCGCCAGGAATTGATATATGACACCACAGTTGAAGAGTAGGGGAGAGAGAAACGAATTGACACCTACTGGAACAATATCAGTAAGATATCGCATTCCAACGGACAAAAGACATTCCCTGCATTACAACGAGTGGTCAAAGCTGTGCCGAATTTGGCCCATAGCAACGCAGACGTAGAAAGAGGTTTCTCACAGAGTGGGAAAAGTGTAACTGCTTACAGAGTGGCTCTGAGTGAAGCATCCATCAATGCTCTCTGCTGTACAGCAGATGGACTGAAGCTCTTTGGCAAAAGGCTGCACACAGTGACAATCACGAAAGAGATTTTAGCCAAGGGACGATCTGCTGACATGCACTGTGGGAATCGGATTGAAGAAGAACGACAGAAGAAGGAAGATGATCGGCGTAAACGAAAACTTCAAGAAGATGAGAGGAAAGAAAAGGATGAAAGAGACAGAAGAACAAAACAAATGAGCAACGACCTGAAAGACAGGCATGGCGAAGTAACAGGCAAAGAAGAAACTGCACAGCAGAAGAAGTTAGATGTTGGTAACACACTTCTCGTGGAGGCCAACGATAAACTTAATGCCCGGCGCACACGTGAGTTATTTTACTCAAGTAAAATGACGCATGAGTCATTTTACTCACGTGTGCGGCGGATTTTCGTTGAGTAATTTAATTTTACTCACGTGTGCGGCGGATTTTCGTTGAGTAATTTGACGCATGCGTCATTTTACTCACGTGTGCGGCGGATTTTCGTTGAGTAATTTGACTCGTACGTGCGTCATTTTACTCACGTGTGCGGCGGATTTTCGTTGAGTAATTTGACTCGTGCGTCATTTTACTTGAGTAAAATAACTCACGTGTGCGCCGGGCTTAAGAGAGCCATTGCATCGAAGAACTGGAAGGAAGCCTCTGTGGTGCAGACCATGACTGAGGCTGCAAAGCAAAAGAGTTGCCAAGCTACAAAAACAATGGAGAAAACCCGGGAGAAACAGAAAACTGTAGAGAAAAGAAAACGGATTCTAATGGATTTATATTTGAAAAAGGCAAAGTCCGCTCACACTGCCATTCTAGTTTCTTTGCGAGCGAACGTGCAATGCGCTACAGTGCATATGTTTGAGCAGACTCAGGGTTGTACACTACAGTATCGTCATGCTCAGTTGAATGCGATTGTGGAGGGTGTGCTTTACATGTCATAGTAATGCATTATAAATTGTACTGTAATTGTGTGTATATATACACTGATATATGGACTATTTACACTAGGTTTTATTACACGTACAGGAGAGCTTACTTCAAATGTTATGATAATGCATTTATGTTACTGTTATCGTATATATATATATATATATATATATATATATATATATATATATATATACATCAGGAGTTAATAAAGACAAAATTCTTTATTAACTCCTGATATATATGTATATAATACACACACCAATATATGGACTATTTACACTAGGTTATATTATTTTATGTAAACAAAAGTATATATGGTAGATCTTCTTATCTGGCATTCCAGGGTCTGGTGGCCCCCACTAGCTGTGGTGGGCACCTATTGTGGCTTGTCTGGGGTGATAGCTCAAATACATTGGTGTGTGTCCGTCCGTACACACGCATATATTTGTCATTGAATTGTTTCCGCATAATTTTAGATATCCTCTTTGTCAGATGATCCCCCGTCTTTTTTCCCACCTGTGTAGTTCCTGCTATTCATCAAAACTTAAAAATACTAAATTGGTTGGTTTTTGCTTGGATGGTATATCGGATAGTGTTCGCAAGGTGTGACCAGCCCCCGAAATTCGGAAAATCCCAAAATTAGAATAAAAATCACGCGAAGTCGTTTTGATTGCACGCACGCACGCCACCAATAACATGCGCGTAAACAACAAGACTGCAAAATGCCTGTGTACGTCGCGACGACCTTTGCTATGACCTTCGGTACGACCTTCGCTCACCCCTCTTATCACCTCGACGGTTTTGTTTCCAGTTTCGTTCCTGCGTTCATGCGGCTGGGTTTGTGGAACATCGCCATGTTAATCGTCTTCATAACTCGCGTGCGAACAACATCCTACAGTCTCTCACCTCCTTTGCTCAGCCTGTGTTCACCTTCACTCTCGCTTCCGTCCTAACAGTTTTGTTTTTCGTTCCGGCGTCGATGCGGCTGGGTTTGTGGAACATCGCAATGTTCATCCACTTCATAACACGAGTGTGAACAACAACGCTGCTTTCCGCCGTGTAAAATGTTCGCGTCTCACGTACGCATCTCTCTCTCTCTCTTCCAGTTTCGTTCCGGCGTTCATGCGACTGGGTTCCTGGAACATTGCGATGTTCATCTGCTTCGAGCAGCTGAAGAACCTGTTCATGAAGGCTCGCGCGACGCGCATCGAGCTGCTCATCCCGTCAGAGATCGGCATCGTGCCGCAGCGCGATCAGGCCGCGATGCTCGACTACAGCAGTACTGGGTCGATGAGTAGCTCTGGGTTCGGCGAGCTGCCCGCTCTCTCACTGTGGGTCGGTCACGACGACATCGCCACCGAGCTCGAGCCCATGCACTCGCACTGAGCGGCCGGCGCCACCTGGAGGCGATCGCAGCGCCACCTGGAGGGGGAGAGGGTGCGCGTGTCGACGCACGTTCTGCCTCTCGTGTGCGCGTGTACTGGTCGCAGTGGTGCCGCCTGCTCAGGGAGGAGGGTGCACGTGTCAACGCAGCCCTTGCTGGCCTGGCGAGCGCACCTACTGCTCACAGTGGCACCACCTGTTGTTACAGGGAAGGGAGCGCACGCGCTTACTACGTGTGCCAACATACCGCGCGTCGCAGGGGGCCGCTGTGAACATGTAAATGTGACATACGATACGTTGCATCTCTGCGTCACGCTGTGACGATTGCGTTCAATCACCGGACGGAGTGACGGCTGGCTCGCTTAGGCAATGTGATTGCAGCACGCTTACCATACCATTACGTGTCGTGTCAAACGCAGGTTATGCATGTATGAGCGATCTTTCCTGGTTCACGTTTAGTCGCGTCGACTTATTAGCGAAAAACAACGCACTGTTATAGGCTGTTAGCAAATGAATTGTGTATGTGTGTGTGTGCGTGCGTGCGTGCGTGCGTGCGTGTTTGTGTGTGTGTGTGTGTGTACACGTGTAGTATGCAAGTAAGTAAGTGAGAAAATGCGTATGTGTATTTGTGCGTGCATGTGTGTGATCTGTGTGCGCACGCATGCGTGTGGCTGTGCGCGTGCTTGTCTTGTGTTCATGCAAACGTGTAGATGTGAGCGTATGCGTGCATGAGTGCGAGCGTGCGTTTAAGTATACTTATACGCATGTGCTTGGGTGTCTTGTGTTTGTGCGAACGTGTACATGTATGCGTGCGTGTGTGTGTGCGTGCACATGTACTCGAGTGTTGTGTTTGTGTGAATGTGTAAATGCGTGCGTGCGTGTGCATGTGCATGTACGCATGTATTTGTTTGTGTGACCGTGTATATGTATGCGTGTGCACTGTGCACGCATGTACGAATGTACTTGTGTGTGTTGTGTTTGTGCAACGGTGTATATGTATGCGTGCGTACGTGCGTGCTGGTATATGCGTTTGTAACGTCTACATTATAAATTGGTAGCTGATGTAATTTCTTCCGCGAGCATCATTAATTAACAATAATCAGAGAAAACTAATTAGATGACTGATGCAGGAACCTGGCTCATGAACGTCCAGCATAATATCGGACCAAATTGTTACAAATTGCAGTTTGATCTATTTTATATATGAAGATGGTTTATGGGTGAGGTACATGCAGAGGGGCAGATATTAGCTCTAGTACTATAGCTCTACCCAATTGTTGAATGGTGCCAGGTGTTTGTTTACACATTAAATGTGCAGAAACTATTTTTATTAGTCACTTTCATGCCCATATATGGGATGTACAATTTAATTGTGCACCGAGGGGAAATAGAGAATAAGAGTATATAACTGTTATTTATGTAGATAATAATAATATAGTTGGATTTGTAGTTGGCCTGACTCGTGATCTATTTTGATGATAGTCTTGTGTGTGTCTTTCACAATGATTCGATCAGTGCCGTAATCTATTGATTATATTAGCAAATGTTCAACGAATTAAAAGTAAACCCTCAACTTGTATAGAATATTTGCTTGCGAGCACAGGTTCGAGACGTTTCGTAGATGTATAAACTGTGGTAGCAAGTGTGAATAATCTTCGACGTTAGCATTTTAGAAAACCTTTTTATGTGTGGGGATGTAATTATGCAGTCGTTATTTAGGATGGCGATATACGGAACAGTTTGTTGTGTTCAAGCAATTGTTCTTCGCAGCTGTGGCTTTCGCTGGTTGTGCAACTACTCGCTTGTGTTGATGATTTTTAGATGTAAATAACTGTAGAAATGCACAATGCTAAAACGTGATATACAATTACGTTACGGTCGTTACCGTTAGGCTTGTAATAATGCGTGGACGTTTGTGTGTATCTGTTTGTATGTGTGCGCGAGTAGGTGGGTGGGTGTTGTGTGTGAAAGATTCTGTGCATTTGAACAAGCTCACGACAGTTTTATGCAAAGAAATGTTGCGTGACACAAGGATGACGATGTTATTTTACCTCAACACACCAATGCGCCGGCCAGTGTACGTAGAGTCCACTGTGTTTTTGGTGAAGAAATCTAGATGAGAGTGAGAGTGAGAGAGAGAGAGAAAGAGAAAGAAAGAGAGAGAGAGATAGCGCATTTGTGCAATTCTAGTACCAGATATTGCGAAGTTTACTCCAGGTTATGTGCACGTCTTCATTTGTGTCTGAGAACAATATATACATTGTTGTTACATGCTGTACATTGTTACATATACATTGTTCTCAGATTTGTATATGAAATTTGTTTGGAATTGTCACGTGCCTTCTGCGCAGACGCGTACGCTGCAAGCGCACTTGTTACGACGAACCAATGATATCACATTTGTTTTGCTCACGAAGTCAGATGTAACACGTCGCTTCCCCAATATAAGTCAGTATAAGGACTTCACTGTAAGCGTTCGGCATGTAATATTCTGCTTTGATCGTATGTACTTTGAAAAAGAGTCTGGCAATGTGTTATATCATGTGTAGGTAATGGAGCCGGCATTCCACAGCCGGTGTTCTCACATGATCCTGTATATACGGTTCTCTGTTATAATAATTGGTGATCCAGTGCGACCGGAAATGCTGTTCTTTTTGTCGTTTTCCATTTGCACCGTTTTTATGCACGCACACACACACACACGCACGCACGCGCGTGCGCACACACACACACACGTACCCACACACATATGGCAGACTGCTAATTCATGCATCTTATAAATGAAGATCAAAGGAAGAGTAACACAAAAATAATATGACATATTTCCTATTTGTAAGAATCCATGATTCCTCGATTCAAATTCAACAACGTTATTATACATACTGTAGTATCACACATATACTGCAAAACCACATAATTAATGTATCCTCACTGGCTATCTGGAAAAATTGCAGGCATCGTAGTTTCCCACTCTGCATAGAAGCTGAATCAATTTTCATTGCTCTTCATGTTTACGCATCACGTTGTATCACCCATCCAGCTTTCAGCATGATCTACTCTAGTATCTATTGGTACTTGATCCTTGCACTACTGTGCTTGCCTCTGTCCTTGCAAGACTACAGTTCACAGTGGGTGGTGCACTACTGTGCTTGCCTCTGAGCTTGGAAGTCTCCAGTTCACAGTGGGTGATGCACTCTTTGGGCTCATGTCACTGACTGCCCGTTCCCTTACTCGGCATCGTATTGTTACGTCTGCGCTCTCACTCAACCATTTACTGGCCTGCCGTCAGCGTGTCCCTTTCCTCCCTCCCTGCATTCTCACGTCACTTCCCTCTCTCACTCAGCCTCTTTCCCTCCCTCGCTTAGCCTCCTTTCCTCGCCCCCTCCCTTGCTCGACATCCAGTCTTTTCCCTCTCTCGGCCTGTCCTCTCCCTCTCTCAGCCTCCTGTCGCCTTCGTCGCCTCCCACGTTTAGCCTCCTGTGACCTACTTCCTTGGCTTAGCCTCCCGTGGCCTCCCTCTCTGACTCAGCTTTCTGTCACCACATCGCCTCCCATCACCTCTCACACATCCTCACCCCGACCTGCACCTCCTCCCATCACCTCTCACTCGACTCGACATCACCGAGTGACTGGATGGCTGACGTTGCTGGAATGATCAGCAGTACCTTCTTCCCTTCCTCTTGTCCCCTCTCTCTCTCTCTCTTCCTCTCGCCTCCTCTCCTCTCCTCTCTCACTCGACATCACCGGTCGACTGCGGTTGTCGTGGAGACGCCAAGGTTACGGAAGACCGACGTCGCTAGACTCTGCAGCACCTTCCTCCCTTCCTCTCGTCTCCTCCCATCACCTTCCTTCCCCTCATCCCTCTCCTCCCCTCTCCTCTCCTCCTCCCCTTGCGTCGCTCACTCAGCATCACCGGTCGACTGCGCGGTTGTCGTGGAGACGCCAAGGTTACGGATGACCGACGTCGCTGGACTCTGCAGCACCTTCCTCCCTTCCTCCCTTCCTCTCGTCTCCTCCTTTCTTCTCCTCCCTCTCCTCTCCTCCCTCACTCGACATCACCGGTCGACTGCGCGGTTGTCGTGGAGACGCCAAGGTTACGGATGACCGACGTCGCCGGACTCTGCAGCACCTTGCGCGACAGTCGCATGCGCCCGCTGACCGGGTCGCGGCCGAAGAACTTGACGGATATCTCCTGACCGACGTCCAGTCCGAGCGCGCTGGGATGGTTGATCTGTGAACGAAGAAATGCTTGAGATAATCAAGCCGTGTCCGACGGAGGGAGAGAGGGGGGGAGGGATGGAGGAAGAGAGAGAGAGAAAGAGAGAGAGAGAGAGAGAGAGAGGGGGCGAGGGAGAGGGAGACAGAGAGACTGACAGAGGGGTAGGGAGGGAGCGAGAAAGATAGGGAGGGAGCGAGAAAGGCAGGGAGGGAGCGAGAGAGGCAGGGAGGGAGCGAGAGAGGCAGGGAGGGAGCGAGAGAGAGAGAGAGGGAGCAAGAGAGAGAGAGAGAGAGAGAGAGAGAGAGCGTGAACTAGAGGTGCATAATATTAGCATACACCTTCAATAACGAGTGATATAAAGCAATCTACCCCTGTTGCTGCTAATTTGAAAATTCTGGCATTAGTGTCACAGATATGAGCAGCTCCCAACCAGACAAGGAAGGCTAAATGTCTCACAGTGATGCACCTCTACCATATTAAACTCTCGTATATTATCAGAGGTGCTAACCTTATCACCGCAACTACCACCATATACTCTAACAGTACGAACACATGTATACAAACAATCACTCAAGTGTGTTCAGACTGTGTTTCATGTGTTCTCTTGCAAGGTAGGCGGTAACACCTACTTTTCGTTGGTCGAGTTGCGAATTGTGCAGCAGGGCAGGCTGCATGGCCGCATATAACTGCACCATCACTCCTACGTCCCTGAAACATACAACAAGAAGACACCGGATTAAGTCGGAGCAATTAATTAAGTACTAATTAATTAATTAATTATTAATTAAGTGATGGATTAAGTGCTAATGTCCGCGGTACGTGAGTGGAGCTCAGCAATGTGAGAGGCAAGAGTTGAGCATGTGTGTGAATCGAGACCTCAAAGATCAGTGTCGGCAACCAATGTGAATTAGTTCTGTTAACCACTGCGTCGTAATCACAGTTATTGCAAGCGTGCCATGTAAAGTGCTGTTTAATCGACAAGGTTTCGGACTGCTGTACCTGATTTCGACTATCTTTGCATTATAAATTGCTCCAAACTCTAGTTCTGGTTCTTTCTGTGGAGAAACGTAAAATGTTGAGTTACAGGCCAAAACAGCAACAGCATTGGAACGTTAAATCGACTGTATACACACCTATGTATTCAATTAATTATTTATTATGCAAAAATACTTGCTCATTTGATTACAAGAGATAATATTTACAAATTAATATCTTGCGTATATATAATTCTATTTTAGGAATTGGTTTTCACTGTAGTCGCACAATAGTTGCACTTGCCTCTTCAGCAATTAGCATCTTAATAACATCTTTTGCTTCATCCATTGCCGACTGGTTAGGTGCAAATATTGAAAACTTCGTGTCATCAACAGGACTAACTTGTACTCCTGTAAACAACACAAACAGTAGTGAGCAATAAGGCCTATGAAAAGTATAAAACCTACGATATAGCAGTTGGAGCATAGCTAAAGTGCATCTACGTTTAGTTTGGGCTTATTTTAACGTGTGCTCAGTACTAATTTAAGTACAGTGTAGCCCCGTTATAATGCGATGGTTGGTGTCCATAAAATGTCATCGCGAAAAAAGCAGGGTCACGCTAAATCGGGGTTATATATACGTGGCTATATAAGAGAGAAAAAAGGGGGTCCAACGACTCATCGCATTATATCCGAATTTGCGTAAGTCAGGGCGCGTAAAATCGGGGTTCCACTGTACCCTAGTAATTTAGAAAATCACACCTTACATAGGTAAGGACGAAGTGCCTTAGTAAACTTTCAGTACCAATGCATTTAGTGTAGCCATTCGGTCTAGGCCTCACATTCTTACAACACTAATACAATTTCAAGGGGTTTCACAATATAGGACTTGGAGGGAGGGCTTTTTGACTGGGACTCATGGACTTATTACATTAGAACGTTAAAAACGCATTGTAAAATCAGTCACTTGGGAAATTTTTGTGTGGAAGGGTGAAGAATCTAAATCGACTATTGGAATTCACAGATCTGGTCAAATTCCTTGTCAAACAAAAAATTTACACCAACATTACAAAACTGTAAAATTTCAAATCAAAATCATGAATCTGAAATAAAATTGACAGAATTCAGCTCATCCTACGTGAATTTTTTTTTTAAACTTGCGAGTTCACCATACCCGTATCTGCGGTCAGTTTCTTTAGATTGTAGCCACCGGAACCAACAAACTTTGACCTCCGGTGAAGCGGCACTTCAAGCGTCTCGGACACCGGACCGTTGTCCTTGACGCTTGCGCGAGGCTCAGCCAGACACTCGCCCATGATAGAGAGTATCTTAGCTTTGCCATCTGCAAAGCACATAAAAACCTGTATAATATATATACCCTTAGAACTTGTTATATTCCTACGTAACTACTTCGAGAATACTTTGGAGAGTATCTTCGCCTTGCCATCTGCAAAGTAGACGAAAACCTGTATAATATATATACCCCTACGAAAGCACCTTGTTATATATTCTTACATAGCTACTTCGAGAACACTTTTGAAAGTATCTTCACCTTCACCTTCATCTTTCACCGTTTAGAGTATATATATGGACCCCTGAGAAAGCTAATTCCTATATTCCTATATAGCTACTTCGTGGGGCCATACAGTACACAATACAGTACGAATGAATAGCAACCGTTTCAGTGAGATGACAAAATGGTCGTTCAGTGGAGTTCATGCATGTTCTGGGACCATCTAAGCTTTGATCAGTCACATACACTCGTCACACTAGCTATTCTCGTAAAAGTAAAGGTGAAAAGCCGTGTAGGAGAGCGAAAGAGAGAGAGAGAGAGAAAGAGAGAGAGAGAGAAGGTGAGAGAGGGAGACTGCGAGAAAATGAGAAAGAGAGGAATGGAGAGAGGGGCAGAGAGATACGTAAAGAGATAGAGAGAGAGAGGGAGAGAAACAGGGAGGGAGAGGGTGTCTTGTGACACACAGACACAGAGAGGGAGACAGAGAGATATATATATATAGAGAGAGACAGGGAGAGAGAGAGAGTGGGAGAGAATGAGAGAGAGAGGAAGGGAAAGAGAGGGAGAGAGAGATTGCGAAAGAATGAGAGATAAGAATGGAGAGAGGGGAAGAGAGTGTGCGATAAAATGAGAGAATAAGAGTGTGAGAGTATGAGAGAGAGGTGGTGCTGGATTCTTCATCTTACCACTAGCTTGCTGTATTGCCTCCATGATAATGCGTAGAGGCACGCCAGGAAGCTTGATGTCAGCCTGTAAAGCTGTGATTCCTTTCTTTGTTCCCGCAAGCTTGAAGTCCATGTCTCCCATGTAGTCTTCTATACCCTGAATATCAGTAAAATGTATTTTACGATAGGCCTAATGGAGCTTCTTGGGCAATAAAGAGACAAAATACTATTGAATAACTGTAATATAACATAACATGTGTAATGAAGTGAAGTCATTACAATATTTACATTACTATTACGATCTGCCGCAGGGCAGACACGGTTCTTTGGCCCCGGCTATTTTAAGGCGAAATCGGTATTTAGATAAGCACCACCCTTTCTAGCAGAGGGAAAGTCGCCAAGCTGGCCTCGTAAAAAAGAGATTAGGCATAATAATTAGCCCAAGCGAGGGACGTAGAAACCACATAGTACAAAGAGGACCCCTTCCCCCCCTCTTGTTGAGAATGGCGACAGTGGTTAATATGACCACTAGGAGACATACTTCTTGAATAATTAGCCTACACTGAAAACCCGTGGTACTACTTAAATCACGTGGTGTCCGAAACGTAGCATAAATAGCAAGCTTTTCTAACAGAGAGACAGAACCACCCAGTCGATCTGTGAGTATGTTTGGTCAAGCGCTTGGACAGCACATGATCGTCCTTGTATGTGTATATGTTTCGTAGTTTAGGTCTTACCGTATTTGTGTTACAGTATGCGTCTTAAACGTATAAGACTGGTACTTGTATTTGCGTGTGTAAACTCCTTTTAGAGATATTGCATTACGTATGTAACTAATAACTTGTCTCTGTAAGATTGTGTAAGAATTGAATAGATATATTGTTGTACGTACATTTCGTGTCTGTCTATTATGTCGTGCTTACCTCAGGGTACACATAAGTGCCCGTACCATAGCAGAACCTGGGTACCACATCACATGGGCGTACACTATACATCGACACGAGCCATATTCAAGGGTACACGTATATGAACGAAACTACTTCATTACAACTGGTGCCGTGACCAGGATATTTCTTTACATTCTATTTTTTTTTTTGGCAACTACGTAAGTATGGGACTTTTTAATACATGTATAACTTGTACGAAGGCGTCTTATAACACCTTCAACTTTGTTTATTTCGTTCGGTTTGTTGATTATGATATCCACAAGCAGTGAATAATTGCATGTTGATAAGTTTTCACAGCATTTCTGTCTCGTCACTACTTGTGCTAACACCGTGGATGCAAACTACAACAATGCGACCATACCCAAACGATTCTAAACCTGGAAAACACCGTAATCAACGTGCGGTTGAGTATTATCCTGTATCAAGACTTGCATCGTGCGTTGCATTATAACGTTCACGATGTCTAATCGTTCTCTACTCTTCCACCAAGTCATTACCACACCAGATATTCTACACCGTCGATCAACCGAACCAGACGACAACGAAGCACCATGACGACGCCAACAACGAACACCACCACCACCACGGACACCACCAACACCACGGACGCCACGCACCACGGGCAGCAGAGACGACACTTCGAGACTGCCGATCGCCGCCGTCGCCTAGCAACCAGGTTCAACACTCCAGGGAGACCAGTTCTCGCTGTCGCCCCGATGCCACGTTCAAGCACGCCTACCCTTCCACCCACCACCTCCTTCACCCCCCCACCCACACGTCCCTCAACACAACCCCAATGTAGCACCCATGTAGCATATGTTTAATGTTTCACTGTCCAATAAATCTGTACATTTGTAAATAAATAAAGAAAAAAAGAAAGAAAGAACGAAGGAAAGAAATGCACACACGCACGCACGCACGCACGCACGCACGCACGCACGCACACATATATATATTTATTGATTTATATAAGCACTTTAATATGATTCTATCTATATAATACCAGGAAAATTCTCACCAGTATGTCTGTCAAGATTCTATAATCAGATATGTCGCTCTGCGAATCGTCCGTACATCGGGTGACCAGGCCTATCGCTATGCCGGCGACAGGGGCTGATATAGGAACGCCAGCATCCATGAGAGCCAGGCTTCCTCCACATGCAGACGCCATGGAGCTGGAACCTACAGGTAAGAGAACAGGTGAGAACAGTGAACAAGTGAGTGAGCAGGTGAGTGAGCAAGTGTGTGAGCAGGTGAGTGAGCAGGAGAGCAGCTGAGTGAGCAGGTGAGTGAGCAGGTGAGTGAGCAGGTGAGTGAGCAGGAGA